GAGGAAAAAAGCCGACAGACTGAAGAGCAACAATGCGATGCCAATGATCTGAGTGAAGATGAAAACCATAATGCAGTGCCCAACGAGGCGTTCGCACAGCGATCAATAATTTCAACTGTAATGGATTTAGAAGCTGTCATGGCAGAATTGCATGGTACAACAGTTGACTCAACACCTTCTGATATTGTGCAAATGCAACCATTAAGTCAAACGCAAGCTAATACACTTCGAAACACACAAAATACCGAGGAGTTAGCGAATAGAGAATATGTGGATTTGGTGCGACAGTTAAACTCAGAATCTGGGCCTAATTTAGCAGATTATATTAATGTTAACACTGAATCGTTGGGGCTTGAGGATTCAACTACTATTTCACAGCAAGCGATAGATGATGGGGAATTTACGCCACACAATAGAGAATACGGGGATTTGGTGCAACAGTTGAATTCAGAATCTGTTGATACTGAGTCTTTGCAGCTTGGAGATTCAACAACTATTTCACAGCAAGTGATATGTGATGGGGAATGCACGCCACCATATTGCGAATTCACTACGTTGCTATCGGTGACATCTACACAATCACCGACGAATATGCCAGTTGAGGCCGAGGTTTCATCAAATTCGGGTGGAGCCCATGCGTTCGAACTTCGTGGTGCATGTCATACATATACGGGATTTATGCCTTAAATGGTATATTCATCTGTTATTCGATAATAAGTAAAAAAAAACGTACGCTCACTTTAGTCAATGTTCTTATTAAGTCTCATCAAAAAATTCCATGTCGTTTAAATAAAAAAGGGAATGCCGCATCATACTAAAGCCAGCTTCTCGACATAAGCTACCATTCCATATGAACACAGACATGTTTACGTACACGTTCATAATTGAATCGATTATTTCAGAAATCCGTCAAGCGCCTAAATACACAAATAATAGTTAAGAACGTAATATTCTTCTTTAGATGTAAGCGCTCCGATTAGTGCTTAAATTTGCCAAAAACCATTGTCAAATGAAATGAAGTTCAAGAGTTTTTGTATGTTTTTTTGACTTTGCTTACATTTCATATGCTTTGTTTTTGAATTTTTGTTTGTTTTGTTTTGTATTGTATTGTATTCAATCTCCCAAAAAATTGCTTTCAATTGTTTTTAGTTTTCTCTAAACTGCATTTTTGGCACTTGACGAGTTTCTGAAATAATCGATTCAACTGAGTATTCACTATAAATAGATATTAAGTTTTGATGTTGTTTTTTTTTGTTATTAATCAAATATATATCGTCCCCTGAGTGGAAGATCGCCCTATATCGGCAGCCAGTTCGAAAACGCCCTATCTCAGAAAACTTTTCAAGAACGCCCTACTTCTGAATTTTATTGAAAAATACTCTTATCTTAGAATTTGGTTGAAAAATGCCCTGTCTCAGCTGAAAATACATTGAAAATGTGCTGAGATAGGGCGTTCTTCAACCAAATTCGGATATAAGGCGTTTTTCAATCAAATTCTGAAGTGGGGCGTTCTTGCAAAGTTTTCGGAGATAGGGCGTTTTCGAACTACCTGCCGAGACAGGTCGATCTTCCACTCAGGTATCGATATGTAATACAGGCAACTTAAATTTTAATTTTGCCCAAAACTGAGAAAATGTTAGTCTACTACACGCATATGTATGTATAATTAATGATTAAGTATGCTACAATATAGGAATGTACACTTAAATAATCTAATATTTACTTATACAATTCATAATTCCCTTTCTTCAGTGTTAATCTTTCGGACATCCCCTCTTCAACCCAGTTATGCATACAACTTACATGCTTACTTATTCAAGTTAGCTACAGCAGGTTAGTTATAAAAGGAAAATAGTTAAACAACGCTTTGGAAGGCAATTATGCACATGTATGTACCGTATGTAAGTACTATTAAAACACAATTTTGTATATTTTTTCGAAAAAGGTTAGCTTTTATTATTTCTTCGTAAATCGAAAACAGTATTTACGCAAATCAGTATCTCAGTAACACATAACAGAATAGATAAAATGATCCAAATTAATATTAAAAAACTTCATTTTTTACATTATATGTATTTGCATAAACTCTTACAATAATTAGTTTACACATACAATGGTATTTTTTATATTCATTTATTTTAAGCGTGAAAAATTCGAAAACTTATTTTTCGTATAGGACTCGCAAAAAACGTTTAGGCATTGTCATTTCAGGCTTATGTTACATTTTAAGCATTGTTCAAGTTTGTTCGTGCTGTGGAGGTGGTTGTTGTGGCTTAAATTGATATGGCCAAAATTTTGCTGTTGGTTTCACCTTAGCTAGGTAGCTGCTGATTTTGAGCAAAAAACAAAAAAGATTGTAAATAAGGGGCTTTGGCATAGTTTATGTTTTGTGAAAAATTGGCAAAATGTACAAATGCTGTTGTTAGTTAAGTTTAGAAAATATGTTTGTAGCTTTGTGCCTATGTACATATGTATTGAAATGTATGCGTTTAAGATATTTAATTATAGTTCTTTATATTAATTTTTATACTATTTATTGCACAAAATTGGTTTTTTATGATCGTTTTGTTCGTGGAACTAGTTAATTTTGTTATTTTTGTTAGACTGTAGATAAGCCAAAGAAGTGCTCAATTATTTGTCAATTACCACAAAAAAAAAACTAAAATCTGCTATGAATTAAAATTTGATTAAAATCTGGAGAAGCGTGGGTGTATCAGTTCTTGACAGGATGGGCGGGTGTATTTTGTTTAGATAAACTTCATATTCGAGAATTTCAGAATGTCTCATAAAAGTGCTTAAATTATTAAAAATGATATATTAAATACAAAAAAAAAGAATGATATAGACCAACAAAACCCGCCGCATCGAAAAATCTCTGCTTGTAGGCGTTTGTTTAGAAGTGCAGCTCATGTTGCAGACTAGAAATTCCTAATTTTTGCGTTACAGAATTTTCAATTATTTAGAAGAAAACTTGTGCATCAAGCAGGTCAAGTGACATATTTTAAACAGAGGCTCAATAACCTCAGCAAAAAAAAAAAATAAATTTATATAGTAATTTGCAATTCCTGCAGCTGGCAGCTAATTTGCAATAATTCATGTGCATTTAATTATAAATAGATACATCCAAATATGTATGAATTCGTAAATATGTAAATATGTATACCTATTTCAGTAATTACTAAATTAGTGCCAAAAATATTTTTTGCGATTTTATATTAAAACATTTTCTTTTATTATTATAGTACGTTTCATGTTAATCTTAAGCAATATTTGTATTTATTAAATTAGCAGCAAAATGAGAGATATTTAGAAATTACATACAAGGCATGTATTTACTTTTCTAGCGGTTAGTCATAATTGTTATAGGGTAAAATGTTCATATAAAAAATAGTGTGTAACGAAAACGAAAGACGTACAAAAGTTTAATTTTATTATTTTTTTTAACACACATGCCAAATAGCTCGTCTTATGTATGTCACAAATGAATTAGGGCCTTATTTAATCACACACACACACGCACAAATACATACTACATACGTATATATTGAAATTTACATTAGAAGATTTATATGTAGCAAAAAATTTGACAAATATTGTATTTTTTACTTAAATGCATGTACTCTGAATGTGTACATACATACATACATTTAGTATGAAAGCAAAAGTATGCACATACACTCATATATATTATACTTAAAACTAAGATTAAAATAACTCAATTAAAAATATGTATGTATGTATATGTAAGTCGGAACGAGTTAATAATCATCATTTCAGCAATGCAGTGCAGTTAGTTTCAATTTCGATATCAAGTACTATGTATGTACGAGTATTTACAAAATGCAAGCAAATTTCGCTATAATCCACAGGCAGCGGCGACAACTCACCCATCATTCAGCTTGCGTCGACGTGCAACTGCGCTATTTTTAATTATTTCCGATATTTCACGACCGCCCGAACTTTCACCTTCCGACGTTGACGCGATCGTATCAGCAGCAGCTCTCAAGCCCGCAGCACCGCCGCCATCACCACTGCCACTGCTGCCGCCGCCTCCTGCACCAAGCGTTGGTGGACGCCCTAAATTCGAGAGGTTACGCACCAGGCTGAGTGCATCGTCGTGTTTTGGCGCGGCAGTGTGCTCCTCGCCACTTTGTTTTGTGCGCGTGGCATCATGCATTGTTGCCGATTTGCGTAGATTTGATACAGAGGCATGTGTTGAGCTATTCAGTCGATTCTTTAGCTCGGAACTCAAGTCCATGGGCATGAAGCCAACACAGCCGGATTTCGATTTGAGTATGCCTTTAACATGCGGTGGTGGCGGCTCGAAAGCCGACTTAGTTGGTATTGGTGGGTGGGAAGCTGCTGTGCGGAAGAGAAAGGTGAAAATTTGATCATTATTAAAGGAAATGTAATGTTTAATGTTGAATGGTGTAGAGGGTGTTCTTTATTATGCTTGAGGATGATGTTGGCTTGCATTTAAGTTCCTAACACATGCTTTGTTATTAACAAGAAAATAGCAAAATTTGTAAAATATTTAATGCGTGTAAATAAACTTAAAAAAAAAAATAAATGCATACAAACTAAAAATAATTACTCACGACTTTTACTATGCCAAATTATATGAAGTTCCCTTCAAGCCAAAATCCATAATATTGGTTTTCCATGCAAAAGTGCCTCTCGAACGAAATGTAGCGTTAATATTGTAATATATTTACGCGTATAGCACTGAAATATCGCTAAACATTTGCCATTTTCTAATTTTCAGTTTCCTTTTTTAATAGTAATATAGTAAGTATATCCATCGATGTGTCTATTATCGAACGATATCGATGATCCCGATCGGGGAAAAAAATTTGTTGCGCAAACTCGATATTCATGAAAAATACCAGGCGACCAGCATAGTACTGCTGGCATGATTGCTGGCATGGCTGCTTGATAATCAGTGCCTACTTTAAGGCGCAAAGTAAACTATGACACATGCTTGGCGCGAAAATGTAGCCACAGACCAGGGCTGCCAACTAATTTAAATGCTCACCCAGTGTTCGCTAAAAAATCTAACAGTTTTGCTTGTATTGCAAATCGATTTTGTTATATTTTAAAGTTTTCTGCTGATTTATCCGATTTTTTCGCGTTGAACAAATCAGTAGAGGCCAATAAAACTTTTTTCGTTTCATTTGTTGACATTTTTTATTTATTTTTGCTTTAGTTAGCTTAAGTTAATCGTATTTTTCATATTTTGCATATTTCATAATTTTTCATAGGTTTTGTTTTTTTAATCTTTATATTTTTTATTTGGTTTTCATTTTATTTTATTTCACCCACATTTTTTTATTTTAACTTTTTCATATATTTCATTATTTGCGATAGTTTATTTTAACGTATTTAATTTTTACTAAATTTTTGTGTCATTTTATTTTATTTTATTTCACTTAATGGTTTTCATATTTTTCCTTTTAAACACAAATTTTGTTCGGAAAAAATGTGTTTGAAGGGCAGATAAATTTTGAAACCTACTTGAAAAAAGCACGAAAGCAATTCAAGTGAAAAATGATTTTACTTTTTTGAATTTTGTATGGAAATTGGCAGAAAATAAAAAATCATTTTCCATTTAAATTACTGGCGAAACCGGCTATGATTTTTCTCTCCTTAAATTTATATTATTTTATAATTTTTATTTCATCTTTTTTATTTTTTATTTGGTTTTCTTTTATTTTATTTTATTCTTGTTTATTTTATTTTATTCCACAAAAGTTTTTTATATATTTTCATGGTTATTTTTAATTTTGTAGCTTTTTATTGTTTTATATTTTTATTTTGTTTTTAACCTTTTTTTATTTGGTTTTAATTTCAATTTATTTTATTTTATTCTAGTTTTATTGCTTTATTTTAATGATAACTAGTTTTTTTCATACTTTGTATATTCCATGTTTTTTCATGGTTTTACTTATTTTAAATTCCATTATTTTATATATTTTGTTTTATCTTTTATATTTCTTATTTAGTTTTAATTTATTGTGCTTTTATTTAATTTTACCAATGTATTTTTTTACATTTTTCATTATTTTTCATTATATGTTATTTAATATTTTATATGATTTTTAATAGACCTTTTATAATTTGCGGTTTTATTTTCATTTTATTCCTTCATTTCTTTTTTGTTTATTTCAAATCTTTTTAAATTTAATTTTTCTCAATTTTTATTTTATTTTATTCATATTTTATTTCATTTACTTTTCTATGAATTTTTTTCACTTTATTCCTTTTGTAGTTTTGATATTTATTCTTTCTTCTTAATTTGTTTTTTAATCTTTATGTATTTTTTTCATATACATATCGTCGTTTAAAGTACAAAACCGCGTTTCGTTGCTCTGCAAAACCGCGTAACTGACATTTGCTGCCAAAATTGCTCACACAAGCTCTTGGCTTAATTAATGCGATTGCTTTATAAAAAAAGGGAGAACCATTTTGAGATATGAGTATTTTTACTCTAGAAAATAATTTATGCAACCTCACATACGCGGTTTTGCATTTTTTTTTTGATACGCGGTTTTGTACTTTAAACGACGATATGTATGTATATCTTGTACATTAAAAAAAATTTAATTCAGTTTTTAAATTTTTATTATTAATTTGATGAAACTGCCGTTATTTCGTCTCATAAAAAACCTCTGCAAAAATATATCTCAACTTTCTTGAAATTCGAGAATCTTAAAAACCAAAAAAATAGTTTATCTGTTAAATTTAATACTTCATATCATTTATTTACTTCAACTCGCTAACATTTTCGCTTGAATATCGATTAATATGCACATAAAATATACATCAGTTACTAGCTAATAAAGTTTCAAGGTAAATAACGAAAAAAAAAATAATTAAAAATTTAAAACTTAAATAGCAGATTTTCATGCTGCATTATTATTTATGTATTTAAAATTAATAACTGTAAATATTTGTGTATAAAGGAATGTAACTATTTAGTAATTTATGTATATATGTATGTATGTAAATATAAGTATTCAGCACTTATTAGGTTCGCATTAAATATTTCATATTCATAAGTATATATTTCAACTACTAATTATAAACTTCATTTCATGTATGTATGTAGGCATAATTTTTGTAGTTATTAAGTTGCACTTTTTTGTTTTTTTGAATTTTCCATAGTTAGCGAACAAAGCAACAACGCAAATTGAATAACATTTGACGCATACAAGCGCAACGTATGTATACATACACAATAACAATACAGAGAGCAACATAAAAATTGAAAAAGTTATGCATAAAAAAAAAAACGTGATTAATAAGCGTTTAAATGCATTTACAAAACAAAAACTTAATACTCGTAGACAAAGTTGTATGTTGAATATGTATGTGGATACCTGGTAAGTTAGATTCTGCTAGGTTTGTCTATTAACACCATTACAATACAATTAAAACAAATATTAGATAAACTAGTTAATTTTAAATTATTTTCAGTTGTAATGTTTAAAGTTTGTTGACTTTGCATATGTATGTTTATCTTAAATTCACTTGTATTTTGGGTTTAAAAATATATTTAGATTTTTTTTTTGTTATAATTTGACAAACAAGCTTGCACAGCGTATACATACATATTTATAATCAACGCAAAATCACAAAGAACAAATTAATTAGTACATATCATCTAAGCGCAAAAGCTGTGTTGCCAAGGGTTAAGAAACGACTTATTAAGTTATTTTTCATTACGTTACGTGAGCTTAAATTCGTATTTTTTTATTATTTGTAAATTCACTTCTTTCTTAAGTCCGTGCACTAACAAACATTTTAGGTATCAATTAAATTTAATAATAGTTTAAGCGAACACAAATGTGCTTTGAATGTCTAAGCTTTAAAGCACAAGTGCGTTCAAAGTGTTAATATGTTACACATACGATGTTGAGCAAAACATGCACTGACAGCCAAATTTATACCAAAATAAAATTTTAAATGCTAATTTACTTTATAAAGCATCTGAAATCAATTTAATTTTCTAAGGATAATACTAAGTTCAGATGGCCAGCTAAATTGAACAATTAGGAAAATAAATTTAAATTAAACGAACTAAATTTAAAAACAACAAATAATTAAACTTATTATATTGAGTAAAAGTTGTCACTCAAAACTGTAAGACTTGGTTAAGAAACGCAAAAATATTCAAATAAAATTACGATGCCGATTAAATACGCGATAAATAAAAAATGAAATAAAATTCATTTTTAAAACTGATAATAAAAATTCAAAATTGATGGCAGTTAATTATTATGAGTGTGAGATTACTAATTGAGTAAGCTACATAAATTTATTGTGAGTGAACATGAAATTTAATAACTCAATTTAGCCGACTGTTTGAACATAGCATAAGGATTTTAAGGTCTTTAACAAACAAAAAAACAAAAAAACGCTAAAGCAGCTAACGCATACTCTCATTAAAAGTTGTTATGCGCCTTTTTTTAGAACACAATACATCAGTTATAATTATGGAGTAGTTTCAAATAATGACAATTTACTAGAACACTAAAAAAACCAAAAAAATAATAATAATTATATTTATAATATTTAACGTTTTTCGTTACAAATATGTGTGTACAAGTACAAGAACATTTTCTTAATCGTTTAGTTTAATATTTTTTAATCTAAGTAATTAACACATGGTTGCATTTCGATAACACTCGCGCATATTTAGCTAGTAATAACTACATAGCATAATTATTTTGTTTTATTAAATGTTTCTCGATTGCTACTTTATTGGATTTTCTATTCGCTTCACATTAAATGAATGAAATCTTAAAGCGTTTATCAAAATTTTCACTCAAGTTCGTTAAAATTTTTTTTTATTTTTTTTTTTTCGTTTAAGGCTTTTGGTTGTGGTAGTCGAAATAGTTAATCAAAAAAATGCATAGCAGCAAACACAAGGAAAAAAATATTTAATAAAAAACAAATATTTTTTCGTAGTCTGCAACAGCAAATGAGCAGACCAACCCTATTTCACTTTTTTGCTTCACCTGGACGCTTGCTTCCGCTCTAATTACAATTGCAGAGCGCTAAGACAAGAGTCCTGTTGGTGGAAATTTTTCGAAACCATTTTTTATTCTAATTTTCTAATGGTACATTAAAGTATATTTGCGATTCGTTTAAGTGTAATGAGTGCAAAAAATAAAATGTTTAAGCAAAAATTTCTTTGTGTTGCAATAGTAGCGTTTTCTTCGAGCGAATATTGGGCATATGTGTTATTGCGAATTTTTTAAAAATAAATTGAAAACTTTTTTGTTTAATAAATTTAAGTGTTTACAAAAAAATCATAAATTTGAGACATTTTCTTTTTAATTTTTTAGTTACTTTTTCCAAAAAGTGTACAAAATCAATTTTTTTGAACAAAATTTTCTAATACAAACATACGTATGCAATAAAAGTCTTGTTAAATTTTAGAGGATTAATATTTTCACCCAAAAACTAATTTTGACAAAAACAAATTTTTAAAATAAATAATTTATTCGTGTGAAACGAAAAATTTTAAGTATTTTCAGGAAAAAAGGAAGCAAAAAACCCCTATTTGTGAAAAAAACACTACTTTTCAGAATTTTTTAATCAAAACATAGAAAATTCGCATTTACGCCCAACCATATACGAGTACATATTACGAAACCAAGTGACATTTTCGCGTGAATCAAAAGCTTTACGAAAATAGGCATTGCATACTTTTAGGCACTCCGTATAATGGGATTGAGTTCGAAAGCGCAGTGAAAAATTATTTCACTTTACCTTTTAAGCTACTATGCGCAGGTGACTTGACTTCGAAATAAACTATATCGCACGACAATAAATCTTTTGCGAGGATTCAGATACCAAACTAATATGAATACCTAAAAACTTCACACACATTTCATCGTCTAATCATAGCCCTGCCCTACAAAACTCAGCTACTAATTTGCCAACTTCAAATTCATAGTTTTTGTTTGCTTTTTGATTTTGATTTTGTTTCAGTATTTTCGTTTTGGTTTTACTTTCTGCTGTTGGTTTTTTGCATCATAAATTTTTCACTATTTTTCGAATTTTTCAAATAGATTTAATTTTGAATTTAATAATAATTTAACAATATATGTATTATAAATTTTAAATTCTATATCCTTTTGGCAAGCAAAACATTCCACACTGTCGTCGTCGCACAGTTCGCCACATTC